GCAGGAATTTTTACTTCCTATTTCAGACCTGGGAAAACACTTTTTTGATATCAGTTGATCGACTGCAAGTAGATCTTACAACCGAACTGTCAGAGCTTTAGGCCCCTGCCAATAATACCACTGCCACATGATTTCTTAGAGCAACACTTCCTTTTGCAAACTCAGGTCATAAATCGTTATGAGAAGGATTAATACCCTTGACCTCAGTTCCTTGTTAACAAAATAAGAAAACTCAAAGTTCTCTTCAACTTACAATCTGTGGTTCAATTTATATTTTAATTCCCCCTAAAAGGCCAAAATGAAACTTTAAAACTCCTAGAAATGTTTTTAGTCATCTTCTGAAGACCTCTGTTCTTACAACCTACAAATTAGTTACACTTGATCCTTTTAGTATAACTCCTGTAATGCACGGATCTGAGCAAGGTGCATAATCTCAATACACTCTGTGAACATATAAACATATATATTCTTCTACACATATAGAAGCTAATTGTGGGCTTCCCTGGTGGCGCAGTGGTTGAGAGTCCGCCTGCCAGTGCAGGGGACGCGGGTTCGTGCCCAGGTCCGGGAGGATCCCGCATGCCGCAGAGCGGCTGGGCCCGTGGGCCATGGCCGCTGGGCCTGCACGTCCGGAGCCTGTGCTCTGCGGTGGGAGAGGCCGCAACAGTGAGAGGCCCGTGAACCGCAAAAAAATAAAAAAATAATAATAATAAAAGCTAATTGTAATATATACACACACACAACTAGTTCAGATGGACTTTGAGCCTCCATTGGTCCAGTGAAAGCCTTTAGCCAACATGTTTAAGATTTGAGGGTTCAGAGATTCTTTTAAATCTCATTTCATCTGATAATTAGTTTAAGAAATTTCAATGGCACACAAGTAAACCGTGGCTAAACTAGAAAAATGTGTATTTTTCCAATATCATCTAAAGCAGAAAAACAATATGAAGTCCCAGACAATTCACAAGACAAACCTCTCAATGTCTCCTCCAACTTCTCAGTTATGCAAAGACAGGTGCTTTAGTGCATAGCACGTTTGAAAAGTAAAGTACTTCCTTGAGTCTACCTTAAGTGCTAAGCATCTCATTCGAAAATGAGAATGTGGCTCTTAATTTCTCTATGGCCATGGAGCACTTCACTCTGCCATTGGCTGTGTTGGTTCTGAGCCTGACGCTAAGCCTCCAGTGTTCTGACAGGGATCTGGGAGCCTGTTTTTTTTTGAAGGTTTCAACCAGTTGTCTTTACAGCTGTAGACAGTTGTTCTCTGTCTACTCTACCTTAATTAGTACTTTTAACTCCTGAGCCTTTCCAAGGTTCTATGACTGCAATCAACTTGCTTCCATCACACAGCTCTTCTACCTCAAGGCTTACGTTTCTGCTTCCTTGAGCCTCTATTAAAACTGACTGGTTACCACTCCTCTACCTTCTTTCTTCTAGAGCTTTATTGTTCTCTTATCTGCCCCACCTCCTTTTGCTTTCATGTTTCCTTTGTATGGCTATACATTTTTACTTGCTTTGGGTAGGTAAGTCAATGAGTAGAAATAAATGTTCACATGGCATTAACTGAAAACCAAACTAATCATGTTTTTTTGCATTTCCCTATCCCATTTTGGGGCCAAACTTCTGGGGTAACCCCTCCTTCTAAATCCTCATTAGTTCTTTACATTGACTCTCAGTTCCAAAAGACAGGAACTTCCATAATTTATCTTTCGGGATGAAATGACCTAGGCCTTTTAGCACCACACTCTAGGAAAACTATCAGCAGTCTGTGGAGCTCATCTTTTACCAATAGAAGGGCTTTCATGTGGCAAAGGGCTAAGAAGCACAGGGATGTATATATACATCCCTGTGATACAAGGTTTCCAAGGATTTCCTGAGACATACTCCAAAATAACCATATTCCATAAATTCTTCAGGCATTGTAATGCTTTAGAAAGAATGATCCCAGAAGTATTTCAAAATGGAGGTTTTGATTAGTTACTACTGCTATTAGGATTTTATTACCGCTGTGATCAAATTAAGTAAAAACAGAAGTGTTCCATCTTATTTTACATCAACAAGGCCTTTCCAGAACATTCTTGTACTTTAAAATTGCTATTTTTTAATATCCACCTATCTCCTGCTGCCTCAGAAGAGGCAACACTGCAAATACAGAAGTTTTGTGGCGTTTTTTTTTCCATACAAAGGAAAACTCAACGTAGAAAAGTCTGCACTCCCTTACTTCTAAATGCTTAATAGATGAAGATCCTGCTGGCCGAGCTCTATTGTGTCCCCTAATATTACCTGCATAAATGGCCTACGTCGTCACAATATCTGTGACACTGGAATATTGGAGGAGCATGAATCAACTACTCAGAGAAATGGAAAACTACAGAAGCAAAAGAAGCACCTAGAACTCTTTCAATGTTTGTATGAGTTTCACATGTAACCACCAGCCACGAATCAAAGGTGATTATGGGTCTTTACACTTCCACTTACTTTCTGAATAGTGTCATTTGGAAAAATTACCATATGCAAAGCAACTGGGGCATTTGGCTCCTGGAGTGTATGAAAGCGTGGGAGGTAGGGGTCTGTTTTCTGGATAACATGCTACTGTCCTTTGACCAGAACCTCATTAGCTTCGTCTTCATTAAAGCCTCCTAAAGCAAATGGTTCATGTCAATCCACGTGAAAACATATTCCCACAGCTCCACACTGGCTTCTGTAAGTTTCAACACCCTAACAACACCTATGTGGACCCTTGTACTCCCCCAGCTTCCCATCCCTCCAGCCATTACACACGGCTAAAAACAAGCTAAAATAACATACCCTTCCTTTTCACCTCCTTCGATCCTCACTACTACTCCCCTGGTCCTCCTTATCCTTTTCCTTTCCAGTTTCCCCAGCTAGTTCGTTTTCGAAGATACAGCATGTAGTTAGCGCCCTTAAATCCGTTTCCACCATGGAAAGGTTTGGATTAAATCCTGCTTCTCTGTCCACCTTCAGTACCTAGTAATTAGCACAGTATGTCTCATATCAGATACTCAGTTAATATTTGTTAATAGTTGAGAAAAAAAATGACCAAAGGCCCATAAAACTATACTGGCAAGTAAAATCTACTTTGCAACTAGATTTTAATCTAATTTGCAACTCACCACCCACGCATGCGCGGAGACAGCCGCTGAGAGTGAAGAATGAGCGGGAGAGAGAATATGGGACAGGGACAGGGAGACTCCTAAACCAGCTTCCCATTAGTCCCCACAGGCCCCGGGGTTAGAACTAAACGTCCCCCGCGCTAACCCAGTCAGTCTTGAGGGCAGCTCCACAGGCCGGCGGCTGGAGCGGTAAAGGGCTCCGTGGGGAAGCCCCAGGCTCCGCGGGGCAGCCCCAGGCTCCACGCCAGTCTGTTAAAGGGCCAGAGCTCCCCTTCCGTGAAGGGCTAGAGGGAATGGAGCCCGAACTGGAATGACCGAGCGGGTGGAGTCCGGCCCCGCGGTCCGCCGAGAGCGGGTGCCAGCACGAGCACAGCTACTGGAGCAGGTGCCGCGCGGGCTGCCCTGGGCTTGAGGGCGGGGGACGGGGGGACGGGGACCGCAAGGCGCGGTTGGCGCCGCATTACCTCTCCAGGGCCTGCAGGGTGTAGCTGATGAGCGGCCTCTCCAGGATGGGGCAGAACTGCTTCGGGGTGGGGACGCCCATCCTCTCCCCGCTCCCCCCCGCCGGCAAAACGGCCGCCACGGCCGGCGCGCTGCACCCGGCTTCGGCCCCGGCCCCGCTCAGCAAGGAGGCCGAGGCCGCCAGGTCGGCGCCGTGCAAGCCGCGCAGGCGACGCCCGGCCTCCGCGGGCCCAGAGCCGCCAGGCGGCCATGACTCCATGGCTGCGGGCGGCGGGGCGGGCCCTCCTCGCCCCGGGCCACTGCGCCTGGGCTCTGCTCCTGCCCTGGGCTGGGGTCGCAGCGGGGAGGGCGGGCGAGGGAAAAGCGCGCACACAGACAGCGCCCACCCGAGCCGCGCGGGCCAGGCCGTTGTACGGCCCCAAGGGACAATCCAGCTGCCGGTCTTCCCTCCCGGCGCGTCTTCGGCCTCTGTCCCGAGCCCAAGCGCCCCGGAAGGGCTGGTTTTCCCGGCTCTCGGCTTCTCCTCTGGCAGGCCCAGCAGTCGCCGCAGGTGGAAGTGTCAGTCCTCCCTATATGCCTAAGGGTCTCCTTAAACCTTAACAGCTGTGCGCAGGCAGTAGGGGTCAGGACTCCCTCCCATCCCTCTCCCCTTGAAGAGATTTGAAGAGATTTGGATGCGAGCCACGAGATGAGACAGAAAAATGTGCACCTTAGTTATCTGGCTTTCATTCGCTCATGAGGCATCCTGGTTCCATCTCTGGTATAGACAGGTGGATGGGCAAATGTTATTATGAAATATCAGTAAGCCAAACTGCAGCCGTTCCCAAATTTGTCTGCAAATTGGAAACACCTGGGGAGCTCAAAAAAATGCTGACGCCTCTGCCCCACCCTCAGAGATTGGGTTTAATTGGCCTGGTGTGTGGTCTGAGAGTTTAAAGATATCCCCAGGTGATTCTAGTGAGCAGGCACGTTTTTTTGGAGCCATGGAGCCAAAGCGATAATACTAATAATTGCTGAATAGTCGGCGCACATTATCTCATTTAATCTGCAGAAGAACCCAGCTATTACTGTTCCTCTTTTACAGAGGCGGAAATAAGGTTAAAATGTTTAAGTAACTTGTGTAAGATTGCACACCTAATGGCCTTTGCACAGAAGTACAGCCAGAGTTGAAAAATTCCAGGCCTGAAGCGTATCATGCCCTTATTTACTACTGTCTTTGCTGGCAGTGTTTCCAATGAAAATGTACTGAAGTATTTGGAGTGTCAGAGCAGATTGTGTTAGGCCCCTAGAATGTAAACTCCTTGAGAGCAGGGTCCTTACTTTTTTGGTTTGGGTTGTGTCCCCAGGTCCTGGAATATAAGGGAAGTTTAATAAATATTCATTGAACAAGCTACTGATTGAATGAATGAATGACAATCGAAGTATATATAATTAAATATTTGCTAATTTATCAATCTTCACCCATCAGTAGTAAATATAAGATTCATAAAATAAGAGTCTTTAAGCACTGAAAATATTATCAGATTATAATATTCCAATTTAGTATTTTTAGCCATTTTCCCAGTTTAGAATGAAGCATACAAAATTAGGATTTAAATTTTCTACTTTTATTGTCTTTTGATTTGATCTTATTATTAAAATCACTATCAGTTTTATTTTTGTTCCTTTTATATTATAATCAACGTTTAGCTCCATTCTACTTGAAATTTGTCAGATCACTGACTCAGTCGAAAAGTAGGCATCATAATACATTTCACTTTGTAGCACCACCACCCGTATCTAACCTATAGTATGCATTCTATTAATACATATTGACTAATTGGTGGATAAATGAATAAATGAGTCTACCTACAGAGACAGAAAAGCAATCAAATAATTGTTTCTATTAATATTGATCTTTAAACCTTGCTTTTTAACCTAATGGTGGAGCTAAACTTATTCTTCATTTCCTTATTCTTGAGCAAAAATAGCATAGTAATAAAGGTCTTGTTATATTAATTTCTATATAATCATTAATATAATTAAACTTTGAAAATTTAGCCAGAATCTTATTATATTGATTTAGTTCTGTTCTTAGAACAAATATATTAACTTTGTTCTCTATGAACCCGTAGATCTTACATAGCGTATGTTAACCATGTTTAATATATAGACTTGTATTGAAAAAAAGGACACTTTATTTGTATATCATAATATGAGAAGCAAAGTTTTTTTCTGAGCCTTTTTATATGGACATAAGTAATTCCTTATTATGCATACTTTGGGTAAAGTATGTAGTTTCCATGTTACTTTTTTTTTTTTAATTTATGGCTACGTTGGGTCTTCAGTTGCTGTGCATGGGCTTTTTATTTGCAGCGAGCGGGGGCAACTCTTCGTTGTGGTGTGCAAACCTCTCATTAAGGTGGCTTCTCTTGTTGAGGAGCACAGGCTCTAGGTGCTCGGACTTCAGTAGTTGTGGCACATGGGCTCAGTAGTTGTGGCTCTAAGGCTCTAGAGCACAGGCTCAGTAGTTGTGGCGCACGGGCTTAGTTGCTCCACGGCATGTGGGATCTTCCCAGACCAGGACTCGAACCCATGTTCCCTGCATTGGCAGGCGGATTCTTAACCACTACGCCACCAGGGAAGTCTTTACTTTTAATGCATATAGAAATACCCATTAAATGGAAGTGGCTCTTGTCTTTGTATCTGAAAGGCCTGAAAGGCCTAAAATTCCGGTGTTTGGTTTGTTTCTACATGTCAGTGTACCATGGAAGATTTATCTTGGGGATTTTATTATTATTATTATCATTATTAGAGAATTTTAGATCAAATTGGGTTCATTTTTCAAGTGTTAATTCAAGTATAATTCACTGTCAATCACTCGCCTCCTCCCCAACCATACTTACTGTTTTAATAGCATTTCTGGAGGTTAGTTGGGGTGTTGCTCACAAATGCTAATGAACAACTTAATGGTTTACCCTTTAACGCTTTTCAGTTCAGAGCCAAACAAAATAAATTATGGTTCCACAGAGGCCAGCCCCAGCATTTCTGTCAGCCTATGAATTCTAATTCCTCTTTTGCTATTGTGTATCTTTTGTAAATGAGACAGTCTATTAACCTCTGACCTTTGACTCATTTTTATACATAAGAAAGGTAATGCTCCGAATTGAGGTCTTTCTGTGGATAATTCAAACTAAACACCACATGGCAACAAGAATATTATCTTTTTTTCTCTCAGTATTTCTTATAAAGTTAATTATCAACCATCTCAACTGTCCACCTTGTTTTTCCTGTATAGCTAAAAAGGGAAATAGTGGTGAATAGCCTTAGGACTGAATGATAAATTTGACTTCATTAATGCTACCAAAGTTTAACTTTTCATAAGAATCCTTTGGGGACCATTGTTAATATACATAGTAGTTCTTATATAGTTTATATAATATAATCATTTACATAATATATATTAATCTTAGAAGATATATTATTGGCACCTTTGTTTCAGGAAGGAAGACCCCTTCCAGGGCCCAAGAGTGGGCTTTTGTCCAACACCTAGAAATGAATTGTCCGAGGAGACACACGTGCTGCCAAAGCAAAAGACTTTATTGGGAAGGGGCAGCCTGGTGGAGAGCAGCGGAGTAAGGGAACCCAGAGGACTGCTCTGCCAAGTGGCTCTCAGTCTCAGATTTTATGGTAATGGGGTTAGTTTCCAGGTTGTCTCTGGCCAATCATCTTGCTTGGCCCATAGTCTGACTCAGGGTCCTTCCTGGTGGTGCACGCATCTCTCAGCCAAGATGGATTCCAGTGCGAAGAATTCTGGGAGGTTGGTCATCTCCTCCCTCTTTTGGCCCCTCCCGGATTCTCCTGGTTAGTTTTCGTTGGCACACCATGTTCCTGTTGAGACCTCCTGTTGTGAGACAACTCAAGCAGGTGGTTATCATCGTTCCTGGCCAAGGTGGATGGTTTCAATCAATGGTCCCCTAACACCTTCTGACAGAAAGTTTGCCTCAGTAGATCTGGAGTAGGCCCAGAAATCTGCATTTTTAATAGGCTTCCTTAGGTGATCCTAATGTAAGTTTGGACCAGACTTAAACACTGAATTACAAAAGAATTGCACCCCAATTACACCCACTTTATATCCAATGCATTTAATTTCAGGACCTAACGCAAAATGCATGTAATATATTAAACATGCCATATAAAAATTGCATAAGAAATCCATTAAAATGTCTGTTGTATTTCCTTGTTAATTTATAAAGAAGAAAACGCGAGGGGAAAATGTTTAAATGCCAGAAATTAAAAAAAAAAAAGATGATAGAGACCTGGCGAACCGAATTATCCCCGAGATCTTTCTACATACCTGTCATTGAAAAACACATCACCTCTGACAGCCACCAAAGGCCATGTCCTTGTCCACAGCTTAAGCAGAATTGAAATTGTTGCCTGGAACTCTGTCCTGAGCATGGAACTCAAGGGTGCGATTCAATTGAGGGATGACACATACCTCCAGAAACTAAAGGAGGGGAATGCCCTCTGTGCATAAGAAATGTGGGAGAGGTGATATCTTTGATGGGTTTGTTTAGGAAACAAATGACTAGTCTAGAATTGCTGGTAGCCAGTTTTCATAATCTGTGGAAGAGAAGAGCATACAGAATCATCAGTGAAGAGCAACAGCTAGAAAAGGAAGATTTGCCGTTTCTTCCAGAAAAGATCTTGGCAGCAGTTATTCCTATATATTTTAACTGCAACATATTACTAAAACAAGATTTAAAGAAAAGAAAAAAAAAACAAACTAGGCTTTAAGAAGAAAATGCTCCCTGAGAATTCAAAGTCATATCTGTTTACTAAGGAATAAGAAAAGAAGAATGTGGACATTTGAATGTGGCATTATTACCACAACCACCACCCCCTTCCCTGCCAAGCACAGAGTAAATATAGGATGTGAGCTGTGCAATAGAGTCTGAATGTGGGACATCATTGCCTTATAATGCCTCACCTAAGAGGGTACCAAGTCTTGATCTTAAGCAGATCAAAAGGGCCTCTGGTGGGGTAGGGTACAGAGAGGCAAAGAAGTGACATGGATGAAGCAGAGAGAGAAGACTGAGACAATGATGATACAGTCTCTTCAGTGATATCCAAAGGATATGAAGATATAAACAACTTTTAATTTTTGTTTAAAAAAAAAAGTGCTTCACTGCTTTTTAGCATGGGACACTTACTTCAGTAGCCAAAAAAACAGAAAAAAAGAAACAAGAAGAAGAAAACCCAGAGTAGTCTGGGCAG